ATCTGCAAAGTGGAAGATATAAGCCCCCTACGGATTTAAAAAATTCATTCCAGTTTCAACACACAGTTGAGTAAACTTTCAAAAATTATCTGTGAGTCAAGGAAAATTTAATTTTATTATTATTTCCATTCACAATTTTTTCCCTTTAAAACTTTCTCCTAACCCTGAAATGAACTTTCTCCTGCAGTCAGATTAATTTCTAAATATAAGTTCTATGATCTGTTGATGCAGACTCTGGAGTAATACAGAGAACAGGTTAATAAATGGCCTTAAACTGCTCTGTTTGGTCAAATTCTTTACGTTCAGTGACGCTGAGGACAGAGATCTCATTAAATAATCACAGGCATTGCAATTCTAAATAAGAGAACTGTAATTTTTCTTTCTGAAGTCAATTCCATGACTCATTTGGCATTTGCCCATCTGTTTGCCTTCAAAACTGGCCTCAAGTCCTCCTCAACTCCATCAAGCCTTCCTCAAACGACAAAACACACTGTATCTACTACTTGCCCTAGGATGCTGCATAGTCTACTCTAAGATGACAGCAAGTGTCCCACCAGAGACAGTGCTTTGTGCCTGGCCTATGCCATCTCATTTGAATGTTACATGAACACCAGGAGGCTGGAATTACGGCGTGCAGGTAAAGAAATTGAGATGCAGTAACAGCTAAAGTGATATGGCTGGTAAGATCCATCCAAAAGCACTGTCCAGCTTTTGTCCACCCCCAAAGCTGGCTCTCAACCATCATGCCGTGCTGCCTCTGCATTAGGAGGGACTTGCAGTCACTTTGTCATGTGGATTGTTGTTGAATGAATAGGTCTTGTCTAACCAACCAAGTTGATCACTGAATGTGTTCCACATACAGTGACATAATAGACATGGAAGAAATTGTTTATTGATAATTTTGATAGGCTTTTGTCTTCCTAGGTCACATATTTCCACTGGAAACCCTGAAAGCATTCTTAGCCTATATTGTGTTTATGCCATTTGTTGTTGCCTAACTCTTCTAAGAAAACAACAGAGAAAGTAGCGGTCTTCCTACGGCGTCCCAGGCAGAACAATAAGGCGGCATAGGAAGACCAAGTTTGCGTGTTAAGAGGATGAAATAAGAAGCTACTCAAAGAATGCTGACAGGAGATTATTTACATGGGGAAGGGGTGGGCAGCAGAGCTCCTTTCGAAAAGAAGCTGCAGTGGTTCACCTCAGATACAGTTCTTCTTAGTAACTACTCCCAACAGGTAATTCTGTCATATGCTTCATGTAGTTAAGTGTGAACAGAAGTCTGCATTTGAAATGGTAACTGATAATAAGGGCAATCAAGAACCTTTGTCTTTCACAGAGTAACCAGAGATTCCTTCTCAGATCCCACCCGTTTCAGATATGAACTGGACTTCAGCAGATGACTTTTATTTAGTACAACAAGCTGCTCCCATTTCAGCTCTAGTACAAAGACTAGAGGATGAAAGAACACACTGTGAGAAACGAAAGTACAGTTGTGAGGGAAAGGGAAAATAAAAGTATGTTTTTGGTACCGATGTCTTCTTATGGTCTTCTACAAAAGAACCATGTCTTCAAAACATCAGTAAAAATTAATACAGGCTGAGACCTATACTGTCCAATGAGGTAGCCACAAGCCACACATGGCTACTGACCCCCTAAAATGTGACTACTCCAGATTGAGATGTGCTGTAAACACACACCAGATTTTAAAGACTCAGTACAAAAAAAGAATGTAAAATATCTCAATAATTTTGTATAGTGATTGCATGTTGAAATGATATTATTTTAGATATACTAGGTTAAATGAAATGTTATTAAAATTAATTTTGCCTGTTTCTTTACTTTTAAAAGCCAATGGAAAAATGTAAATTCTGTATGTGACTTGTATTATATTTCTATTAGTACTGGTACAGATGATGTTGCAGAAAAAACAGGGAAAGAAATTCTCAATTGTGACTCAGTAGACTTAAGGTCTGTCAGTCCTTCGTAACAGCCTGCTACAGATAACTCCTTTTTCCAGAAGATGGGTATTTTTGGTGCAATGTAAGCGTGGGACTTAAAATCACAGCAGCTTGGGTTTACATTTGATCTGTGCCACTGACCAGCTCTGAAATCAATGACATAATCTCCAGTAAGTGACTTAGCTTGGGGCAAATGTATCTTCTAATCCTATTATGCGGGTTAAATCCAATAACATAAAAAGCCCAGCATTTTAAATGGCAAACATTATGATCCTCCCAAGAAAATTTCTGTGACATGCTTTTAACATTTTTTGGTGGCACTTCATTTTAAAAAAACACTAGTAATATTAGTGGCCTCATGGTTGCTGTTTGTAAAGACTTCAACTTCTGAATTTTAATTAAAAGAACTGTACTTTTAGGGAAGATTATAACATCTTCATCTTCAGAGATCTTTGTGAAGTAAAGAAGCATATTATTTTTCTTGGAAAATGTAAGTCAGGAAGTTGAGCAGGAAGATAGATGAGTTTAGACTATTTGTAAAAGAGAGGCGAATCTACTTGGAAAACTCAATTGAGTGATATTGAAGAAATCATGTAACATTTCCGGAATACCGATTTCCTCATTTATCAACTGCTGGTGCTTGACTAAATGATCTCTGAAATCCCCTTCAGCACTAAGGCTCTTGTTGACAATGAACCTAGAGGTCAAACATACCCACCCTTTTCAAACATACACACCCCTCCCTCTCCTTCCTCCCTGTCCTTCCCTTCTTCCCTCCCTTCTTTCCTCCCTCTCCTTACCTCCCTCCCTCCCTTCCTTCTTTCCTTCCTCCTCCTCCCCCCCCTTTTCAACCGTATGCACCCCTCCCTCTCCTTCTTCCCCTCCTTTCCTCCCTCCCTTACTTCTTTCCTTCCTCCCTGCCTCCCTCTCCTCTTCTTCTTTCTTCTTCCTCTCTCTCCCCCGCCTCCCCTTCCCCGTCTCTCTCTCTCTCTCTCTCTCTCCAGGGCCTTACTCTGTTGCCTAGGCTGGAGTGCAGTGGCACCATGTGGGCTCACTGCAGCCTCCACCTCCCAAGCTCAAGCAGTCCTCCCACCTCAGCCTCCCAAGTAGATGGAACTACAGGCTCAGGCCACAAAACCTGGCTAATTTTTGTACTTTTGGAGAGACAGTGTTTTGCCATGTTCCTCAGGCTGTTCTCAAACTCCTGAGCTTAAGAGATCTGCCCACCTCAGCCTTCCAAGGTGCTAGGATTCCAAACTTGGTGAGCCACAAATACAAATTTATATTCACTGCTTTCAAAGGTATCCAGCCTATCCTGTTTATTCTTATTTCTCACCATCCTCGCAGAATAAAAATGAAAGTCTATTAAGGGTGCTGCTTCCTGACAAGCCTTCTGTAACAACTCCTTGCCCAAGGTGTTGTCCTATAAACTTCACAAACCCATTCTCCCTGCCGCAAACATTTCCTCTCAATGTATCTACCTGTATAACCTGATGAGCACTGAATATGCTTAGAAGCCAGGGTTAAAAAGAGAAAACCACTCCTTTTCCCATCTTCAACTCTAAATTCCGGTTTAACTGCTCTCATTGTTTTTAAACTAACATATTTGTTAAATCTGAAAAAGGCATATAGCAAATGAATGTGTCATTTAATTCAGTGTCAAAAGTAACAAAAATGATCTGTAACACAATTACTTATGGAATGACCTGCTGATTCGCTGGTTAAGGTTTACCAGGATTAAACAGGATTCTTAACTAGGAATTTTATTTTCTGATCTGAGGATTAAATAAACCATCTCCAGCTTCCCCCCAGGAATGCATGTGACTTTAAGAAATTAATTTTTCTTTCTGTAACATAGCCTGCTTATCGCTAACAAGAATTAATAATTACATGCTCAAAGGCATTGTGACCCCACCAGAAATGCTCGGTACAAGCATGAACTATGAAATCTCAAATCGGCCCAACTCACAGTAAAAGCAGACATTTTAATACAATGTTGAGGCGAAATTTTGAAGAGGCAGGAGTTTCAAAAACACAAAAGAAAAAAAAAAGAATGCCTTATTGCTACCCAGTGACCCAATAATAGGGCATTTTTCTTCCTTCTAGAAAGCCCTGCCTTCCATGTGCTAAAGAAAGCCAGTCTGGAAGCTTATTTGACAATCAGCCCAATTCTCCTAGTTAAGGAGAAAATGTTAAGGGATATTTCCCTTTGTATAGGATCACCAATAGTTAAGATCTTTGACTGCTTTTTCAATTCATGGTGATATAATTAAGAGATTTTAGAGAAAAATCACTTTTCCAGCAGTAAGAGCACTGTTTTGTAGCATTACTAATTAAGAGCATACACGCTGCGGAGTCGGATTATAGTTCTATTGCTGTTCCGCTTGTACCATTATATACAAAGGCCTCACTCGATCCAATGTGTTCCTCCATTAGGGCCCACTTGTCCAGTAGGGCCCATGTCTTTTTCAGCAAGAATCCATGCTCTTCCCTCTTCTTTCTCAACAAAACTCCTCCAACGAGCTTTAGCCAGGGAGACTGGCAGTGGCAGTTTCAGCCTTCATCCTCACCATCTTTTTAATACCTCTCCCCAGCCCCCAGGCAGCTGTCATGAGGACCTTCCTCAATCCAAACCCAACCTGCATCCCTTTCTAATGTGTTGCAATAAATAAATACATTTCTAAATGTGTGATAACCCAGGCAGTCTTGGCCTTTCTGAGTGTGTCCAATTGCTATAATAGATTGATTAATACCCTAAGAATACAAGGCTAAGCTTCTGAAAACTTGTGTCCTATTTCAGGTCTCTTGGACCTGTTAAGAACAAGCGAACGTGAAAACTAAAGTTTAAGTTTCCTGTGGCAAAAAGTAACATCAAACAGATTAACACTCCAAGACATGACGCGACTGTTACCTGGGGAGCACACTGAGAATGGCGTAGCACTTCCTGAGATTGGGGTGTGTTTCAATGACATAATGGGCAACTGCTGTTTCTCCAGCTAACAATATAAACCCGGCAATGAAGGATATTTTCAAAGCACCCACCTTGTTGAGGACATCCCGCTGGCAGCCAAGATAAAGATTGGGAAGAATTCGGGTTGGCCCAATGTTGGCAACAGGTAAGCAAGGCTGAGAAATGCAGGAAGGGACTAGAGTGGATTTTCCTTCACAGAGGCCAGGGAAACAACGAGAGAACTCAGCAAACCCACCTAAGAATAAACATTATAAAATTATGTAAAATTATGCCACGCACAAAGTAAAAACCAGCCTTCTGTGAACTGCTCAGCTAAAATGGTTTAAAACATAAAAATTGAACCCATGGATCCAAGTGGATGTCACCGCATACCTATTCCCGGCTACAGCTGCTGATGCTAAGACTGAAGCATAATCCAGCACTGTGCTTGGCTTGTAAGGCTACCATGGGGATAGGCGAGTCCCAAAGGCACTTAAAATGACTCCTGACCCAGGCATTCTCTTCATCTTCACATACCCTACAACATTTGCTCCCCAATCCCCATGCAAGTGTTTTGTGGAATATAAAGAAGATTTAACGTTAGTAGCAAGTAACCAAGCCAATAATTCACAGAAGCAAAATGGGGATATAAGAAATGAGAACTGAGTCTGAATGCAAATTCTTCAAAATAAAATTGATCAAGTTAAAAATTCTTTCTACAATTAACTTTAAATCTTTCTACCATACAAATTTTTTTATTGCAAAGGTACCATAAACATACTCCCACCTACAAATACTCTATCAAGTTCTTGGGATTCCCTGGGCAGTTAGTCAAGGTCTCTCTAATTACTGATGTCTGGAGGGCGCCTGTTCATCTCAGCAGGTACTATACAGAAGTGCTGACAGACTAACTGCTTAGGGCTCAGGAAGGCTGTGGCAAGATGACTGGACTCAGAATTAGAAGAATTCGGTTTTTTCTAGTCCTGTCCTTATAATGATCTGCTCCATGACCTTCACTAAGTCACTCCTGCCACACTCAATGGAGTGAAATCTGAATAGCCACAGGAGATGCTTTCACTCCCTCTGGGAAGAGAAAAAATACGCAAGGTATTTGCTTTCCAACCTAAACATTCCTTGTTATCCAAACCCAAACACAGGAACCAAACAGATTCTGATAAATTTCGGATGCCTTGCTATCCGAACCCTCATTATCCACTAAGTCCGAACCAAGGAGATTTGTTTGACAGGAGATACTCATCTATATTTTTAATATTAAATTTAAAAACAAGGCCCAGCTTGGTGGCTCACACCTGTAATCCCAACACTTTGGGAGGCCAAGGAGAGTGGATTGCCCGAAGTCAGGAGTTCGAGACGGGCCTGGCTAACGTGGTGAAGCCCCATCTCTACTAAAAATACAAAAATTAGCCAGGTGTGGTGGTGGACACCTGTAATCCCAGCTCCTTGGTAGGCTGAGGCAGGAGAATTGCTTGAACATAGAAGGTGGAGGTTGCAGTGAGCTGACATGGCACCACACTGCACTCTAGCCTGGGCCATAGAGCAAGACTGTCTCGAAAACAAAAAACAACAGCAAATAACATGTTAAGTGTTATTAGAAGATAGTACCTTTTTAACTGAGCCTTGAACAAGACCCTGAAATCTCACTGAAGTATTTATCTTTATCTCCTTGTGTTACATTGTATTAGACTTTCCCCCACTTCAAAACTGCTAGAAGTGCAGGAAGTTGAGAGGGAGTCATCTCTCATCTTGCCTTGTTCAACTCAGGCATAATTCAGCCAGACGCCTGTCTCCACTTGGGCTCAGTGCAGGATCCTCAATGCAGCAGAATGGTAGGCAGTTGACAACTATGTCACCTGCAGAATGTAAAAGAGTGGGCTCGTGTCTGTCTATATATATTTTTACTAAGTGTCTGTCTATATATTTTTTAACACAAAAGCAGCTAAAGTTCTTCCACTTACTGAAGTTCTTAAGGCAGCCTGATGGGCTGAATCCATGGACCCATTCTAGAAATCACAAATTCCTTTGTGTCATAGGCCCTCAGGATCTGTACCTTACAGTTTCATGGTTTCATTTCTTACCATTTCCAATTATTACCTCCAGCCACACAAAACTCACTGTTACTTCACAGTTCTATGTTGTTCTCTTGTCCAAGAATACCACCCCGCACCGCGCCATGCATGCACACGTAGAAGTACATACAGCATATACATGTGAGCAAGCCCCGTGATCATACAGCAGAGGAAGGAAGAGCCTTGTACCGGAGTTCCTGTCCTGGCTTTACCACTTTCTAGGGTCTGATCTGTCAAGCTACCAAGCTACATAAGCCCTCCAACTCTTAGCTTCCCCATCTATAAAATAAGGATAACGATCACACCTACCTCCCAGAGTTATTGAGAGAATTAGTTAATACATCACAAGTATTTGTGCCTTGCATAAAGTAAAGCACTCGAGAAGTAGCAGTGGTTTTTTTTGTTACAGTGATCAGACATTCAGGACCTAGCACCATCTGAGAGGCCTTCCTCCACCTTTGATCCGCAGCTGATTGCTTAGCTACACCTCCTTAGGATTCATCTGAGACACAAACAGAAAAAGGAATGCCTGTAAGGTTTTCCCAGTGTACCCCAAAGCACTAGCGTCCGGCAAGAAGCTGACAGACAGGATAGTGGTCCAAAAAGCAAGAGAAATATTGCATATCCTAGCTCCCTGAGAGTCACAGCACATATTAACTTATTAAAAGCTCTGAAAAGCATCTTCAAGGAAACTGGTTTCATTTATTGAAGTCTAGTAAGTTTCCCCAAACTTATCTGACCATGGAATTCCCCCTAAAATCTATCAATACAAGTGGAATTCACACTTACGAAATGCTACACTGGGGTCAAAGCAACTACTGAAATCGAGTCAATGAGAACTCCTATACCTACAAGTATAACCCACAGACAATCTCAAAAAAGGGGGATCAGCCAATATTGGTATATGAGTGCCCACTGTTTAGAATTTATGCTTTTGTTTCTATTTGTGTTTAGTTTCTTTTCAGTCTAATTGAATAATACAGTCATTATTTAAAGTGAGTTTTTTCCAAGGTAGTTCTTGTAACAATGTTAAGGATTCTCATCATTCTTTCCTTTTCTTACACCTACCCAACCTAACAAATGACAAGCACTATTTTAATTATAATTTAATTGTATGATGTTAAACTTTAACCTCTGTTAACATGTCATTCTGGTGTTTCTTTTCTTTTTTTTTGGTGGTGGGGTGGGGAACAGGGTCTCACTCTGTTGCCTAGGCTGGAATGGCACGATTTCGGCTCACTGCAAACTTTGTCTCCCAGCTCCCACCTCAGCCTCCCGAGTAGCCAGGGCTACAGGTGAGCGCCACCACACCCAGCTAATTTTTGTATTTTTTGTAGAGACAGGGTCTCCCTCTGTTGCCAAGGCTGGTCTTGAACTCCTAGGCTCAAGTGATCTGCCCACCTTGGCCTCTGCTGGGATTACAGGCATGAGCCACTGCGCCCTGCCAGTTCTGATGTTTCTCTAAAGAATTGTTTTCATATTTTTTTCTCTTCTGGTTAGTTCACGGAATGCTTGTCATTTAAATCCAACAAAACGACCTGGGAAACATGGAAAAGCCCCATCTCTACCAAAAAAATGCAAAAATTAGCCAGGTGTGGTGGTGTACTCCTATAGTTCCAGCTACTTGGGAGGCTGAGATGGGAGGATTGCTTGAGCCTAGGAGGTTGAGGATGCAGTGACCTGTGATCGCACCACTGCACTCCAGCCTGGGTGACAAAGCGAGACCCCGTCTCAAAAGAATACATACTTACATTCATACATACAACAAAACAATATTCTAATAAATGCTCTCAAAGAGAAACCAGAGAATCCCAGGAAATGCCACTTGAATTCCATTTTAACCTTATGTACTCATAGAACATACTGAACATTTATTGTGTGACTGACATTACCCTAAGCACTCTATAGGTATTTATGTACTCTTACAACTCTGCTATGAGGGAGGTGTTATTACTATTCCCATTTACAGATAAAGCTCAGAATCACATAATACAGGCTCAGAGTCATGTAATAAAGGCTCAGAATCACATAATATAATAATTGCAAGAGCCAGGTTTTAAGTCTACTTTTGTAAATCCTATGGAATTAGCTTCGACTCTCCCTTGAATGCAGGGACAGCCCTGTTATGATATTCATGGGGTCCCAGCCTCCCCAGCTGTGACCAGAATAAAAAGCCCACAGCCCTCTCCCAAAGTGATGGAAGAGCTTTGCTTCCCCAAAGCTATATGGCTCAAAAGCTTCAATGAGGGAGAAGAAAGAAGATCTGACAAGGCCAGAGAAAGGATCGCACTCTTTAAAGGCAATTTCACATGACACCAGTAACAAAGTTTACAGATGAACTAGGTGAAAAGTAAATATGGTCACTGGTTTGTTCATGACCACCATTTACAAGTTGCTAGTAAAGCTGAGGCTATGTCTTGGCTTTCAGGTCACCCGCCACAGAACAACTTTCAGAGGAGATGCAATTCTGCAATAATCATAAACTGAGCCATCAGCCAGGCTATTCGAGGTCCGGCTCTATTGTTAATTAGTACAGTGATCCTAGATCACTTTACCATCGGTAGACCTCAAAAGTAAGTGTGGCTCTAGAAAATTCTAAGACAGAAAACAGAAATAAAAGAGAGAAAGAAACCATTATTCAGCCTCAAAACAAAAGAGCCAAACAAAACAACAACACTACATTGTAAAACACGTTGCAGAACAAAAAGAAGCTCCTTTTTCACAAATCTTTTCAACTGATCTCTAGAACAAATGCAAACAAATATTTTAAAATATTTAGCAGATTTAGCTGCCATCGGAACATTCATTTAGTGCTCAGTTTGGCTTGAAATGTCCCAAACTGTGGCTCCCAGTCACTTCCAGAAAACACTACCTCAGCCAGAGTACATTTTCCCTGATCTTTATCTATGACAATGTCCCACTCTGCTGACATCCTCCTTCATTGACGGTTTTTTCCATTCACTGACCTTTCATTCACTGCTGCACTCTAGTGACTCCAGTTTCATTTCATTAATTAACAACAGATGAGACACTGCCTGATTTCCCTTGAACCTCTAAAAACTATCTGCCTCCTCACCAGTTTTGAAACATGTTTAAAATGTCCCTCTTCCTTTCATAAGTTCTCTTACAACCATGATCTACTTCAGAAGAAAAGTTCATTTATGCAAAC